CCCCACCCCCAGCTTCTGAGCCCTGGGCAGGTCCTTTCAGGCCATGTCATCCAGGCAGAGAGAGGAGGCAGGAGCCGCTTCCCGGGAGGTGGATGGAAGGCCGGGGGCAAGGGCCCTGACTCCAGTCTCTTCCCCTACTCACCCCAAGTCTGACTTCTCTTAGCGAGGACATCTCCACACGTGTGCCCTGAGCAGCGCCCCCCCCATGACATCAGAGAAGGGTGTAAGTGTGAAAGGCAGAAAGGGACCAGAGGTTGCTAGGCCACGGGCTCTGGCCCACCTTTGTCACCTTTGTGACAACAGTGAGGTCTGGTCAGGGCCACCTGGCACTGAGGACACCTTTTCCTCCCATCAGCTGCTTCTCTGAGTCAGAGCACCGCTCTGGTCACCTGCTGGCCTCTCCAGCTCGTCCCCCAAAGTGTGGGCCCCTAAGGGTCACCCCATCCGCCCTCTCAGGACTCGGGAGTGTTAACAGCAGAGTCAGGTAAGACGCCTTCCTTCTCGGCCCTGACTCCCTTCTGTTGGCTACAGGCTTGCCTCCAAGGAAGTTTCCAGAAGTCTCAGCTCAAGGCTGTCCGCTCCTCCGCAGCCATGCTGCTCTCTCAAAACGCTTCCAACGTTTGGCAATCGAGGCAAGAAAAATAGGGTCTAGAGCGAAGCTTTAGCCGAGTAGGTCTCAGCCTGGGAGAGGAATCCTTGCTCACATCTCTGAGAATCCAGAGGTGGCCTCCACAGGACCCTAAGGCCCCTGGGGGGTGCCAGCCCTCACCCGTTTCCACAGGAGGCATGGAGCCCAGAGACCCCCTTCATGTCAGAGTCTGCCAGCGGCACGGGGCCTGCGGGTGAACCTGGGGGTGGGGACGGGGCGGGGGTGGACAGCAGCGCCTGGGGCAGGGCCTGCACTCAGTGCCCCTGTCCCCTTCACAGGTCCACATGGATCCACTGCTAACAGACCAGAGGCGCCTCTGGAAGGAAGAGTTCTGGCAGAACCCCTGGGACCAGGGGGGCCTGGCCGTCATCAGCATATTCCTCATCACCGTCCTGCTTCTCATGCTGTTCGCCATTGTGTTTGGGGCACTCCCTCCATCTGAGAAGGTCGACCAGTCTGAAGAGTCATGACCTGACTTTCGGGGGGCCAAGGGGAGGCCACCTGTTCGACACTCTCCAAACACCATGGGCCTTTCCCTCGAAGCCCCTTTAACAGTCTGGATTATACATTTTGTGTGATTCTCTGATAAGCGTCTTTCTCACTGAGCCGAGCCCCATAAAAGCAGGCCCCTCTGTGCTCACCACTGTGTCCCGCACGGCTCCCCAGACCCCAATTCAATCTAGGCCTAAACACAGGGAGGCCTAGAGGCCGGAGGTCGCTTCAAACCTCATTACCATTCCTCCTGACACTAGTTGGTGAAGAGCCGGGCCTCGAATAACCACACGCTCCCCATGGCCGCAGCTCAGAGGAAGCAGAGGATCGAGGAGGGTTTTAGACTGAAGGGCTAACAAGTGCAAGGTGTCCCCAGCTGGTCCAGAGTCCGCCCTGATGTTCCGCCCACAGTGCTCACAGCTGCTGTGCTCGGAACCTGCCCGCCACCGCCTGCCTGTCACTGCAGCTCCCAGGCTCCTCCCGGCCCCACGGGCAGCAGATGCAGATAAAATCGATGAGTGAGTTCCAAGTGGGCAGGCTGGCCCGATGCGAGAAAAGCTAATTTCTCTCCAAGCCCGTCACGCACGCCCGCTGAGAGATAAGCCCGCCGCCACATGCCCATTCGGGTCCAGGCTAAGGGGGCTCCTCCAGTGAAGCCAGAGGCCCTGCTCAGTGGCACGTGATGACCACAACGCCAACGGCTCAGGACTGAGTTGCTCATGGGACCACCCATTCCAGAAGGGGATAAAGTAGGGTGGATGGACGACTACCCGAGATTCACCGAGTCCTCACGCTGTCAGTTTCTGGGGCCTTCCACGAAAGAAAGGGGCCCGACTCCCAGGCTGCCTGGCCGGACACACCCCATGCAGGCAGGGTCCCCTGGTGGCCCGAGAGTGGCCCCGCGTTAGCTGGTTGACAAGTGGGTGCGGGGCGAGGAAAAGATCTCAGTCACGTTTTGTTCAGAAACACGCGAATAAGTCACTCACCCCAGTTCTTCACAGAAGGTCACCAAGGCCTCAAAGGCCAGGAGGGCGGCTTTATCAGACGCTTTGTTCCCCCTCTTTTCCTGGAGACAAGAAACGACCATTGGTCCCGGTGGTTACCAGAGGGAAAGCGGGTGGGGGAGGCAGGAGAGGGGAAAGGGGGGACAAATGGAGGAAGACGCGACTTGGGGTGGTGAACACACAGTACAATGTGCAGATGATTATTACAGAACTGTACGCCTGAAACCTAAATAATTTTATCAACCAATGTCGCCCCAATAAATTCAGTAAAAAAAAAGGCAACGACCATTTAGCAAAAGTCTTACCGAGGTGAACTACCTTGTAGCTCAAAAAATGCTGAGAAAAACATCAAATGAGAATAAGAAAGAAACTTACCAAACAGTGGCCCCAAGCCTGACCGCGCATGAGCATTACCTGGGTAACTAAGAGGGACGCGGGCTATCCCCAGGCCACTGAAGCGTGTTAGAGCCGTTAACACACGTGCCAAATCTTTCACTTAAATTTGCATTTATGTGATCGCTGATGAGTGAACATCTCTGGATGAGCTTTTCTCACGTCCTTTGTTTTGTGCCAGTGGGTGGAAGCTCTCTACTTATTCTCAACTCCAGCCTTTTGTTTGCCTTCCACATTCTATATTTTTCCAGATCTACTATTTAGTTTATGGTCTCTTTTTCATTTCCATTCCTAGGTACTGATGCTAATGCAGAGAAAAGCCCTACTGGGAACGTGCCTGCAACCAAGGTACATGCCCTTGACCAGAATCAAACCCGGGACCCTTCAGTCTGCAGGCCGACGCTCTATCCACTGAGCCAAACTGGTTAGGGCAAAGGCTGCTGCTTTTAAAAATATGTAAAATATTCTTACATTCATCCATCTTGCCAGGTTTATTTTTTTTCTCTCTCTCTTTTTTTAATTGATTTCAGAGAGGGAGAGAGAGAAACATCAATGCTGAGAGAGAATCATTGATCGGCTGCCTCCTGCACGCCCCCTACTGGGGTTTCCCACAAACTGGGCATGTGTCCTTGACTGGAATCGAACCTGGGACCCTTCAGTCCGCAGGCCGACGCTCTATCCACCGAGCCAAACCAGCTAGGGCTTGCCAGGTTTCCTTATAAATGGGCAGACATGCATTGACATTTCTACCTCCTGGTGTCTTCTTTCCTGTTCTCCTTATCCCTGCAAGTGTGTGTGTGTGTGTGTGTGTGTGTAGTCATTATGTTGTCATTTTAGTGGGAATTGGGAATAAGCACTTGTATTTCATCTTTCTTTAGGAAAAGTCTACATGTATTCTTCTGCAACTTCACACATTATGCTTTATCCATGTTGATTCATGTAGATTTACTGGGTCATTTTTCTCTGTTCTAGATCATTCCACTGTGACTAACCCACTGTTTTCTTATCCAACACTCTACAGAGGAAGAGTCTGAGTGACTATTAGGTGCTGCAGCCAACATCCCTGTACTTCCCTGTACACGTGACCGGTTGTCTCTGCAGACGTGGAGTTACCGAATCACAGAGCACCAGCATCCTCCACGTGCGTGTCGTCACCTCCTCTCTCTTCAGAGCAGTCGTACGAGTTTACGTTCCTGACACACTGTGAGGTACCCTTTCCCACATCCCCACAGAGAGGGCTTACATCTCGGCCAGTCTGGTGGGCGTACGACAGCTCATCGTCTAGTCTGCGTTTCTCCCATCCCTACGTGTTGGTGAGCATCTCTTCACACGCTCACTGGAGTCCGCTTTCCTCCCTGTGACACTCGGAGGAAACTTCTCGCTCTCAGCTGTTGCCTTTCACTCACCTGTCAGAGTTCCCTACATGCTCAGTCACTTATGTATGTTGCAAATATTTCCCCAATGGCTCCTTTACCACTGTGTTTATGGTGTCTCTTGCTATATGGAAATTTTTAGTTTGAATTTAGTCAAATAAGAGTATCTTCCTTGATGGTTTCTGCTTTTAAAATCTTGACATTCTCTTCCCTTCCTCAAGGCCATAAAGTATTTCTCCTCATTCTTACAGTTTTTTGAGGTCTTTAATCCATTGGTAATTCATATATGTACGGTATGGGAGGTAGGAATTTAATTTTATCTTTTTCCAGCACCAATTATTCAACAGTTCATCCTTTTTCTATTGATTTACAATGCTACCTGTCTTACATCAATTTTCCTTATCCAACAAGGAAATTATATACATGGGTCTCTTTCTAGGCTCTGTACAAAGAATGTACGATCAGTTTTTTTTTTTAAGACTAAAAAGAAAAACAAAGAACTTATGTAGCAATATGAGAAAATGCTTATGTAACAATGCTGATGAAAACAAGGCAGGACTGATCTTGAGTATGTAAAGTAACATGCACAGTACTAAGATAAATTAACATAAAGAAGTCTAGCCCTGGCTGGTACGGCTCAGTTGGTTGGGCGTTGTCCTATGCACTGAAAGGTTGCCAATTCAATTTCCTGCCGGGGCACACGCGTGGGTTGTGGGCTTGGTCCCTGGTAGGGGGCGTGCAGGAGGCAGATGGTTGATGTTTTGCTCTCACGTGGATGTTTCTCTCTCCCTCCCTCTCTAAAAATCAATTTAAAAATCTTAAGAAGAACAAAAGTCTAACCTAGCTTGTTGCAATGCCCATCGACCAACATACAATTCCCCCTTGCTATACCGTCTAGCCCAGGAGCACCCCTCTAGCTGACAGAATCTCCATCTGAGTTCAGATATAAGCTGCGTGAAATCGGAAATTTGTGAGTTTGGACAGAAAGGGCTCCTACTGCCTGGGACTTACCTGGAGTTTTGCTACTTCCTTCCTGATCAGGAAGCTGACTTGGTCCCGGTCGCTCCTGGAGTAATAGAGGCGGCACCAGGAAGGCCTCCCGTCCCTGCCCGCCCGGCCAGACTCCTGGTAGTACCCAGCCATAGACTTGGCAACATTCCAGTGGGCGACGAACCTGTGGACCCAAAGGGGCAAGCAGCATGAGGCGTGGCAGGAGACCTGAGGGGAGGAGCGATTCTGAGCAGGTGGAGCCGGGCTCTCCACAGTGAGCAGGGCTGGGTGGGCGAGCAGGCAGCGAGGACCCCAGGGCGAAGTATGGACAGGACACCTGCAGTCCATCGGGAGGCCTCCCTGCCCCGGAGCAGCCCAGGTCAGAGCCATAGCAGGAAAGGGGCCATTCCAACCCACATGAGGAACAAAAACGCTCGGTCAGAGGTCCCGTGGGAAAAAACATGCTGGACTTAAACAAACAAATCAGATCAGGCCACTGATGAGCCCCACGGCCTTGAAAACGTCCTTGTGAATCTCTCTGGAGAGGGAAGGGATACCATTAAGTACCTACTAGGAACCAGGGTATGTATTTGTCTCATTGAATTGTTACAGTCACCAGCATGGGAGGTAGCCCCATTTCAGAGACAACGAGCCTGAGATGCAGAGGTGAACTGTACAAGGTGACACAGCACGGGGACAGCAGAGCTGGGATCTGAGCCTGGGGGTGCCTGACTTCAAAGTTGGCCCCTAACAAGACACAGCCAACCCAGCATCCAAGCTCTGGTGCCCAGGTCTGTGCTCGGAAGGAGACTGGACTTTGCGTGGTGAACACAATACAGCAGACAGATGATGTGTTGTAGAGCTGCACACTTGAAATTGTACATAATCTTATTTACTGATGTCACTCCAGTAAAATCAATAAAAACCTAAAACATAAAAAAATAAAGTCCGTGTCCTCTCAATGCAGTGCACAGACTAATTCCTACCCTGACCAACTCAGCGTCGCTGTGCGTCTCAACAAGACCGTGTATGCAGAAGAGCTCCGTAAACCATGCCCGGCATTAGTGCTGGTGTTATTCAGAACCCAGCGCTTCCGTCTGTAGCCCAAATGTCTCCCCAAGGTCAGACTCCCAACCGCCACCAGCGGGGCCTGGGAGGCCGGCTGTACTCGTCTCCTCTGGCCGGTCAGCTGGCAGTAACAGGCAGTGATGGGAACAAGCGCTTGCCTCTGACTTCCGCAGGGAGCAGGTTAAGATGGTTCATTCCACCCTCACTGGGCCCATCCGCTAAGACGTGAGTGAGCGGCGCTGTGTCAATGAGTGAGCCTGGTGGTC